CTCTATATCTCTGTACAGCTTCTTTGGACCCTCCTCGCAGCACTCATTCCCACTTAGCTTTGTATTGTCAGAAACTTTGGTACTTCCAATCTTTTTGACTAAGGGAGTCAACTGAAAGATGAAGGTTGGAGGGTAAAAACAGGACAGTGGATGAGATTAAAGAAGATGGCAATAGAAGCCCTATTCTTGGTGGGGGAAAGAAACACAATGTTTTGTTTTGATAGAGATCTAGGCCAAGATTTTCACACCTTACTTCCATCTAAAATGGTGGATCATTAGAGAGTTAGGAATCCAGTGAATATTGGGGTTCTTTGACTGAATCTCAGCAATAGCATCCTCTCAGAGTACCCCAGTTTATCAAGATGCGTGGGGTGACCTAATTCTGTCCAAGGATTTCTAATTACGCAAAACCTGCATGGTTAGAATAAGTCAACTGGAAATGGATTTTGAGGTGGCAGGAGTATAGAGGGGAAACAAGGGAAGCTGCTTCCTGGTTTGCTCACTCTCTTACCTGAAGGCCCTGCAAGATGAGGACCTACAATGAGGTGATCTTTACCAAGGATGGGAGGAAGAGACCAACCTTTCCAGTTAACCAGGTACGGATGGCTATAACTGACATCAGGAGCACAGGTGTAGTCACTCCGACTGTGGAACAGTGCGTAAAGAGGATCAAGAACCTCAGGATGGTGGAGAGGCCAGTGACAGATTTTAGATGCCAAGCCCAACCTCTGACTTCTATAGCGTGCCACACCACAGAACGGCAGGCACGCTTTTTATATAGCTGCACCTCTGTCAGATGTTTCTCAAATCCATCTGAACCTTCCCTCACTGTCAGCCTCATCCTGTTGCTCTCTCGCACTCATACCTCATTACCATTCACAGATGGGATCCTTTCCTGCTGCCTGCAAAAAAAAAAATCATTGACAACCGTCATAGCTCTACTTTGTCGTCTTGCAGGACAAAAGGGCAAATCACGTCAGGTAGGGCGTATACGCTCTGGTGATGGACAACTTGACAGCCAATGACAACGTGCATCTAACTAGTCCACTCAGTTTATTCCAAAGGGCTGCAGATATTAGCATCACCCTACAGTGAAGGCCTAAGGCACTGGTGCTGAGATATGGCTAAGAGCTTATTCTCTGCCTATAATCCCTATTTCAGGGGTTCTGCCTTCAAGCTGGATGGCTGTCTATCCCTTCTGTCCTATTGCACATCGATCAAGAGAAGGCAGCTACTGATACCAGTGCTGCTCCACTTGCTGTTTGTCAGAAGCTGCAGAGAGATATAGACAGGTTACATGAATGGGCAGGTTGGCAGATGGAATGCATCTTGGGGAAGTGAGCATTTACTTTCAATACCAGAACAGGGAAGGAAAATATACTTTGTTAAATGACCTGAAATTCTGGATGTTAATATTCATAAATGTCCTGGCTGTACTCTGATAAAGAACACACAGTTTGCATGCATTATCGCAAGCAATTGGGAAGACAAATGACATGTTGGCCTTAATTGGAACAGGTTTGGTATCAGAAGTTCAGTTGGTGCTGATAAGCTGCTGCTATGTGTATAGCAGGTTAGTAGCAAGAAACTGCAGCTGAAAGTAAGTGAATTAGGTGCCAAGAGATTGAAAAATATCTGCCATGCACTGAAAGCATACTCCGAGAAGGAACACAGTAAACAGCAGTCTCTCGCCTGGCCACAGGTACAGATATTCAGTTTTGCTCTTTAAAGGATTTCCAGCTGATCACATTTGCTAATACACCTAACCTGCACATCCCTGATAGTTTAATTGAAGTTGCACTCTGTACTAGAAGTTTCATGCAACTTGAGAAGTAATCCATTGCCTGTTAAATACAGTATTTAAGTTTTGTTTTAACTAGGACAATTGTTAATACATGCAGGTTCCCCACTTGCCTTCAGACAAGCCCAAGTAAAATCAGAAAGAGGGTGGATGATGACATGCCTCCCCAAAAATGACATGTTTCAGGACATTTCACTCCTTGCACGTGACCAGATCAGCCTTTGTTTTCCTGAGAAGAATCCCTCTGTATAAGCAAGGATAAGTTGAACCTTCCATGAAGCACAAATTAGGTTTCAGCTGGTGCATTGTATTTAGAAAGGATTTCAAAACCTTAGAGAGGATGTAGAAGAGAATTACTGAAATGGTACCAGGGATGAGAGACTTCAGTAATGCAAAGAATTTGAAGCTGGGTTGTGTTCCTTGGACTGGAGAAAGTTTACGTGAATATTTGGGAGAAACTTTTAAAATAAGAACAAGTTTTAACGAATAAGGTAAAACTCTTTCCAGTGGCAGATGGGTTGTTAACCAGAAGAGCCAGATTTAAGATGTACCAGAAGGAAACTTTCTTCAATTTTAATGTGATCTGGAATAGATTGCGTGAAAGGATGTAGAAGCAGATTTAATAGTAACTTTTCAAAATATAATTGGATAAGTAGTTAAAGGGAATGAATTTGCAAGGCTCTGGGGAAAGAGTTGTGGAATGTGATTAGTTGGATAATTCTATCCATCCGCTCACAAAGGCATAATGACTGACTGACCTCCTTCTGTGCTGTGTCGTTCAATGCTTTTATGAAAGTACATTTCTCAGTCTGGAGATTGTGATGATCAGTAGTTGGTTAGTGGGTTCTTTTGTGGGTGCTGGTACTTAGGTTTGGATCATTCCTGCAGTTGGTATGTTTCCTGATGTCTGTGTTTGAATAGCACTCGGAGCTTAGAATCATATAGTACAGAAGAGGTCTGCATTGCCAAAACTATTCATAATTTACACTAGTCTGTCTTTCCAGCACTTAGCCTTGAACATTGTGATATTTCACCTGCTCATCTTAGTACTTTTTAAAGGTTGTGAGGTTTCTTGTCTCAACTACAATTCCTTACTGTGCATTCCATTTTAACTAAGGGGAACAGTTGCTTTCTGTCCAACCTGCCCAAGCCCTTCATAATTGTGTATGTCTCACTTAGGACCCCACACCCTCAACTTTCTTTACTCTAAAGAAAACAACCTGAGCTTATCCAGCACTCTAAAATGCTCCATCCCAGGAGACATCCTGGTGAAAAGAACCGTTCTCTCTTCTGATACTGGATTGTGATGACTACTTGCTACATCTGTCAAGATGTGCAATGACCATTTCAAAAATGAGGACACCTGCAAAACAAAACAGCTGTTTCTAGACCTCTGTAATTTCCAGTTCTAATTAGACTTCCAAAACAAAGTTTGTATTCTAATGTGCTGTTGGGGCAAAATCAAGGTTTGCCAGGAGGTTCATCTTGCCTTCTTCAATGACATCTTCAGACTGAAATTCCTCTATTTTAACCCTTGGTGAACAGAAGGGGATCAAAATGAATTAAAACATAATTAGGCTTCTGACCTTATTGTTGGCTGTTCGAGGCTTTTACATCCACATTAATGAGTCATTAATGAGACTCTCCTGAATACACATGGCCAGGCATGAAGATTGCTTTCTTGTTGTTTAAGAAAGCAGCATTTGTGCTTGACCATGTCCAGGAATAAACTTTTCTTGAGATTCAAAAGCTATTAAGTGCAGAAAATGCATGGCTTCTTCCTATGGACCCTTCAGACCCAAATGGGAGTAATGAAAACTATTAAAATAAAGACAGCCGTACTCTATGGGTTTCCATTTGAGCACTGTTGTCCCAGCATCAGTGTAAAAATACTTACTTTCAATCCATTTTTGCTGTGGACTTATTCTTTGCAGTTCTGCCTCCACAAGAATCTGAATGAAGAAAGAACATCTTCAATGTCTGCAATTCTGAGTACTTCAATTACCCATACGGCAGTTTGCTATGTAGCAATAGAATGGTACACTTAATCTTAGTCATTTTTAAATTAAAATTACTGAAGCTGTCTGGAGACCATATATACTTCTCAATTTGGGTTCCATGCTTTGTGTGTTGCTAACTTGTGCGGTTAGTATTCTGCAATTGATGGCTGGCCACATGCTAATTGAATGGATTTGAAATACGTGATATTGCCTGGAAAATACAGTTCTGTAGCATGTTACCCATATTCCATCAGGAGTGGAAGAGTAAAATTTCTTTCAACGGTTTGTGCTCTTTTCTTAACAGCATTTATTAAGCAAAGAAGAGCAGGATTGAATGAGTTCATTCAGAAGCTAGTATCACATCCATCATTAAGTCAACAGTAAGTTTTGTGTAATCTTTTCCATAAAATGATAACCCATGTTCAATGATTAGAGCAGTTAAATGTGTTAAAATGTATTGGTACATACAACTAAAGAAACTTTCAGAATTCAATCCAGCTAAATAGCCTTTTCATAGAGTCTTGGTCAGAGTTATTCAACACGGAAACAGACACTTCGGAGCAACTCGTCCAAGTCAACTAGATATCCTAAACTGATCTAGTCCCACTTGCCAGCATTTGGCCCATATCCCTTTAAATCTTTCCTTTTCATGTACCCATCCAGATGCCTTTTAAATGTTGTAATTGTATCTGCTTCCACCACCACCTCTGGCAGTTCATTCCATACACACACTACCCTCTGCATGAAAAAGCTGTTCCTCAGATCTCTTCTAAATCTTTCCCCTCTCGCCTTAAACTTATGCCCTCTAGTTTTGGACTTCCCTACCCAAGAAAAAAGACCTTATCTATTTCCATGCCCCTCATGATTTTATAAACCTCTATAAGGTCACCCCTCAGCCTCCAATGCTCCAAGGAAAAATATCCCAGCCTATCCAACCTCTCCATATAGTTCAAACCCTCCAATCCCAGCAATATCCTTGTAAATCTTCTTTGAGCCCTTTCAAGTTTAACAACAACTTTCCTTATAGCAGGGAGACCAGAACTGAATGCAGTATTCTAAAAGTGAACTAACCAAAATCCTTTATAGGCACAACATGACTTCTCAACTCCTATACTCAATGGTGTGACCAACGAAGGCAAGTGTACCAAATGCCTTCTTCACCACCCTGACTACCTGTGACTCCACTTTCAAGGAATTATGCACCTGCACCCCTAGGACCCTATGTTCAGCAATACTCCCCAGGGACCTACTATTAACTGTGTATGTCCTGCCCTGATATGCCTTACCAAAATGCAATACCTCACATTTATCTAAATTCAACTCCATTTACTGCTCCTCAGTCCATTGGCCCATCTTCATATAGAATCATAGAATCCCCAGTGTGGAAACAGGCCATTCGGCCCAACAAGTCCATACCGACCCTCCGAACAGCATCCCACTTAGACCCATCCCCTTATCTTATCTCTGTAACCCTGAATTTCCCGTTGCTAATGCACCTAACCTATACATCCCTGAACAATATGGGCAATTTAGCATGGCCAATCCACCTAACTTGCACATCTTTGGACTGTGGGAGGAAACCAGAGCAACCAGCTGAAATCCACGCAGACATGGGGAGAATATGCAAACTCCACACAGACAGTCGCCCGAGGCTGGAATCGAACTTGGGTCCCTGACGCTGAGAGGCAGCAGTGCTAACCACTGAGCCGCTGTGCTGCCCCTGATCAAGGTCCCATTGTATTCCGAAATAACCTTTTTCACTGTCCACTACATTACCAATTTTGGTGTCATCTGCAAACTTACTAACCATATCTCCTATATTCACGTCCAATTCATTTATATAAATGACGAAAAGCAGTGGACCCAGCAGCGATCCTTGCGGCACACCGCTGGTCACAGGCTTCCAGTGATTTTTTTTCATCCATTCTTGGCAATATGTACATCTTTGACAAGGCCAATATTTATTGTTCATAACCAACCATCCAGAAGTAGGTGGTGATGAACCTCCTGCAACTACTACCCTCTGACTCTGACTGCTAAATCGTTTCAATAATTAATGTCAGTCTAGAGTCACATAGGCCAAAGAGAAAAAAAGACAGCTTTCTTTCTTTCAGGAACATTGGAGTGCTAGATAGATTTTATAACAAATCTGGGAGTTTCACAAACATTACTAATGAAACCGGCTTGTTAATTCCAGATTTCATCATTAATTGGACTCATTCAACTGGCCTTGTGGGGGGTTTTGAACTCTGTCTCCTGACATACTCAGACTCATTAGTCTGAGCCTATGTTTCACTAGCCCAGTAACATTACTATTATGCTTTGTCCCCGTTTCTTTTGAATGATGTTTCTCTGCCTATTTGTGTTTTCAAGGCTGCAGGATGGCTGTTGTGAAAAGCAAATATAATTTATTTAGCACCCAACTTTGTATGCCCTACTGATTTGACTGATTTCAGCACCCAGCCAGTGTTAGTCTTGCTGTTGATTGGCTACCCAGATCAACAAGGCACCAATACTACCAGTTAAAGCTAGTCTGTACTGTTGGGGTGTTATTGACTGAAGCAGATGCTGGAAGAAGTGGCTGTACTCCAGGAAACAATGAATTATTGCATGAGAACAGAATCAACAGGATCTGAGATTTTCAAATGCTGCTCTGGAAGCCTTGATGAAGGAGATGCAGAGAAAACAGATGTCCTGTATTCTTTCACATCACATTTACAGCCCAGTCCCAGGTTATCCAGCCTGGCATTTTTTTTTCCGCATTTGACTCTTCCTCCACTTCATCTGCCCCTATCAGCACTTCCTGCGATTCATTCCTTTCTCACCTGTTTGTTTAGTTCCCCTTAAATGTATCCATGCTGGTCATCTCAGCCACATCACCCTGACAAAGTGCCACATTCTCACCCCTCAGGACATTTCTCCTGAAATCCCGCAAGTGAAAACTCCTTCTCTGCCTGTGCTAACAAAAACATTACCTACCAGATCACTCTCTGCCTTCAGTATCCTGGTGAAAAGATCCCCAGCCTGTTTCTAAGTAACAACCTGTCAGTTCTGTTTTTAAGGAAATTCAGTACAGGATGGAGTAGCTTTGTAGGGTCAGGAGACTAGTGCTAAGAGAATGCCCTGAGGACGTTGATGCAGTGTCACAGGTGGTCAGGGTTGGTGAATGTATATCTTGATGTCTCAGTTGGTTGGATGGCAGGTTTGCGATGCACAGTGATGCCAACAGTGTAGGTTCAATTCCTGCCCAGGCTGAAGTCACCATGAAAGTCTTGCCTTCTCAACCTCTCCCCTCACCTGAGGTGTGGTGACCCTCAGGTTAAACCACCACCAGCTGTATCTCTCTCACGAGACAACAGCCCTATAGGGTGGTAAGCCTACGGCAACTTTACGTTTACCTGACAACTGCAACTTGCCTCTGGTATTGATCAATTCACCACGTCTCCATCCCACACCATCCAAGAATCTCTTTACCTTATTTCAATACTCCACTCCTTCCTCTCAAATTTTGCATTGCTGCATCGCAGCCACACAAACAAACATTTAACCATGAGAGTCACATCAGCAAACACATTGCATCACTGATGCCCCTTCCTGTCTTTCAGAACAAGACCGAGCACAAACCAAGAATGCAGATGCTAACCAGAAAGGAACAAATGCACATGTATTTGATTTTTGATTTGATTTATTGTTGCCATGTGGTACAGTGAAAAGTTTTGTTTTGCATGCAGTACAGGCAGATCAGACCATACAAAGTGCATTAGGGTAATAGAACAGTAAAGAGTTCAATATTATGGCTGCAGAGAAGGTACACAAGAAGCAAGGTCAACATTAAATTTAAATTAAAATTAAATCAGTCCTGCTCATCATCAATGTGTCTATTAGTTAGGCCATGGTGATATTCTCATATCTAATCCTCCTCCTCTTACTCCTCAGCCCACCATCTCTTCTGCAGAAGGTGTAAGCATGCATTATTTAAATTTCCCCTGTCTCTCACCTGAACTTTACTCTTATGTCTATCTTATCAGAAGCCCAAGAAAAACAACCTGACCATGTGAGAAGAATTGCAAGAAGGCAGTAACAGTGAAGATGTACCATCAGTCAGTTGTATATTCACGGTGACCAATTCAACTATTGTCACCGCCCAGTATAGAGGCAAGGTCTGCGCATGGTGAGACATGGGACATGATTAGGGGCTTGCAGCAAAGCCAAGGTATAGCATGAGTTTCAACTCAGGGTGTCAGTGCAGAAGAATTCTGCTGTAGCAGTTTCAGTTGAACACTGGTTGGGCTACAGATGAAAGCTGCTAAATGTTCACAATGAAATCTTTAGCCAAAAAAGCCTGCAGTCAGTGATGAAGAGCATTCTAGCATGGCTTTAAGCCAATTCTCTCCAGCGTGGAAGCAGCAAATCTTTTCGTGCACTTTGTGGATCCAACCTAGATGCAGCATTGGATGGCCAAATCTCAGTTTGCTTGGAAAACCAGCAGCCAAGTGTAGAAGCTGAGTCTGCTGGCATGCAACCTGGATTGTTACCACTGTAGCTGTGGATTCAAATAGGTAAAGAGGTTTGCAGAGTGTCCCAGCAGTCCAATAATCAGTCCTCTAACAGATAATTAGAATTTCAGAGGTGTCACCCCAGGAGAAGAATAATGGTTCCATGAAGTACAAACCTGTTGACCTCTCTCATCTGCACTGCCAATCTATCAGAGTCCTTGATGTTTCCTGTGAACCACCCATTCAGGCTATGAACGTAACCATGGCAATATGGGTCCTCAACCTGATGTGATTGTATGTGTGATTACAACATTTGTCAGGTTGCAGTGAAGGCATCCCTGTGCTTAAGCACAAATATTTGATGCAAGATTCCTCAATGAAGTTTAGGTAGGAGGATTGCTCCCAGAACATGTTTAGCTATTATGGTCTCACTCCTCCTCCTCCCTCTTTGAGCATCTTGACCTGCTCTATGTGCCCAAACTGTGTGGTTTTCCAAGAAAAATACCTACTGTTGCATATCCGTGTCTCAGAACAACTGATTTGTGCAGGAGCCTTCAAGTCAGGAATAGATTGATCAACGTCTGCCTTTCTATGCCTTCTAAACTTTGGCAACTTGAAATAACTTCAAATGACGCCAGAAGTTCAAATAATGCTAAAAGCTTGTAGTGTCATAACAATTGCTAAAAACAAGATCATACCTTCAAGTAGTCGATGATTCCTTTAATGAAAAGTCCTTGGGTTCCCTGCCTGCTGCTTAGCTGTGAAATTAGAAGAAAGGTTTGATGTGACACAGCTAGTGACAAATCAATGTTGCATGCTGATTCATGTCCAGTGACCAGTCAGATCATGACTTATGATGGCTCTTCACTGCAAGTGCAACACTTTCACCAACACCAGCAGCAGTTTTGATTTACAATTATCAGGCATGATTTTCCCCAGAAATGTGCTTGCTGCAGATGTTATTTTGGAATTCAAGGCTGTGTGTTCATAGCAGCTGAAATTGGGCAACAGTAAATCTAATTCTTATCCTAAGCATCTGAGTCTGTGGTTGGCATAGGGAGAATAGGAATATTGTTTTTATGTTCTCATAATCTCCTGAATCTAGATTTTTAATTGTAACACAATAGAATTAATTTTACTGTTTAAACAGATTCATGAGAAGTAGTGTGAACTTGAAACCCATTAAATTAAGATTACATCCACTAATTTGAAAAAATAACAAAAACGGAAATTGCTGGAAAAACTCAGCAGGTCTGGCAGAGTTAACACTTTGGGTTCAGTGACTTTTCTTCAGAACTAAAATTTGAAAAAGTACTTTATTTTAGCCACCTACAAAGGTTTGCTGCCACACTGTAGTGGAAGGTACGCACTATGCCACAGCTTTTAGTGAAGTGCAAGTGCTGAATTTGGTATGCTCAGAAGACATTGTGAATACTCTAATCTAGGGGTAATTCCTACATTGGTGTTTCAATTCTCAGATAGATTAAATGTTCCATTGCCACAATATGTGTGTTTTGGAATGCCTCAAAAAAGCACAAAACGATGGGCAGGTAACAGCAGATTATCCATCAGGCCACATTTGTGATGTTTGGAGCTCCCCAGCACACTCGCATTCAAAAGTTAATTTTAAAAAAAAAGCCAGGGCCAAATTAAAAAAAATCAAAATTACTGTGCAAAGTCCCTCGGGGAGACCATATTGGCCATGATAATGTTAACTGTTACTTTACCATTTTAAGCTGTGAACTCAGCTGTTTTGGAATTTCCAGTGGTCTGTCAATATAGCTGATGACTTAATAAACACATTTTGTATATACATTTGTTTTATTATATTAAAGCCATTTCTTCAGAACATTGCAGCACACCACCATTGGAAAAAATTGATTCTTTATTTCTTTAGCCTTGAAGTTCGTGCATTTCTTCAAATGGATAACCCAAAGAATCAGTCAGATCCATCAGAAGATGAAGATGAAAAGCCTGGTCATGTGGTACTGTATACCCAGATGAATCTTTTGTTTTTAATGTGTTTGGTCCATCCAAGATTGAGGGACTGTTACCTGTCATGATCCAAGTTATTATCAAGCTTGCCTCACAGAAAGCTAACACCATTTTTATTTCTGCAGCAACGTTCTACCTCTGAAAGCATTTATCTTGGTGCCTCAGGAAATCCCCAGTGAGTATGTTATGGCTCTGGTTAATTATTTGAGTATCCTTTAATAAAATTAGGTGACTTTGTTATTCAAGATATAAAGTAAAAGAATTTAAGGTCATTTGTAGAAGGATTAGATTAGAGGAGACACAAGGAAAATCTTTTCAACCAGAAGGTGGTGGGAGCCTGGAATTTACTACCAGGTTTGATGGTTTAAGTGGAAACCCTCGATTCATTTAAAAAGAACCTGGATCTTAACCTGAAATGTGGTAATCTACAAGGCTACAGACTAGGTGCTGGAAAATAGAATAAGGATACCAGTCAGTTTATTCAATCGATGTGGATACAATGGGCTGAATGGCCTCTTTCTGTGCTGTAACTTTTCTACAGCTTTAACTGTCATCTAGCTAAGTTGTTGAATTTAATAGTACACAAAATTCTAATTGCATGCTTGTATTTTAATACTTCACTAAACCTTTTTAACTTTTATGGCCTTGGTATTTTATTTCAGGGCTATGCCAACAGACTTTACTTTCTTGAAGCTAATTGGCAAGGGAAGCTTTGGCAAGGTAAGATTTTTGTCTGTTTAACATTTTTTTTCATCTGTTGATGCACCAGCTGCTTTTCCTTCATTTCACAGGTTCATATGCTTTTTTTTGTCTTTTAAGGGATGCACTTTGTGGATTATGACTATAAAATTACTTTTTATTAGGTTTTACTTGCGAAACATAAAACTGATGGGAAATTTTACGCAATTAAGGTCTTGCATAAGAAAGTAATCCTAAAGAAGAAAGAGGTAATATTTAAAATGTCGCTTATTGCCAGAGATTTCTTTTTGTATTTTCTTGATTTTTGTGCATGCATTTCAGATGTGAAAATATTTTCTTTATGCAGCAAAGGCACATTATGGCTGAGCGAAATGTGTTGTTGAAAAATGTGAAACACCCCTTTCTGGTTGGACTACATTATTCATTTCAAACCACAGACAAGCTGTACTTTGTCCTGGATTTTATTAATGGTGGAGAGGTTAGTACTGCTAGTCTGCTACAGAAAGGTAACTGAATTGTGATCTGCTTTGCCCACCAAGAGAAACAGATTGTAGTATGTAACGTTTAGAAAAATTCCCACCAATATTGAAGTGAAAAGACAATACTAAGTCTCTACATGTATATAAAGAAAAATCAAAATTATAACTTTTTTGGTTTTTTTTTTCATATTTTCTTTTCCTTCCCTTTAATCTGTGATATACAGCATTAACGAAGATGATCTGTTCCAAAGCCCTCCGCCTGTGTTATAGATGAACAAAAACACACATGATGACTTCAAATTGGGCCACTTACCTAAGGAAACAGTTTATTACCGTCTCCATTTCCCCAACAACTCCTTCCAATCCAAAAATGGGAAATTAATTCTCATTGCCAAGCATTTTATAATCTTTCTTTAATCTTCCACTTCTGATTCTGTTTGAGCTAATAAAGTTTTGCTGTCCATATTTAACTTTTTCAGTGACCCATTTGTCAATAACGCTATACTTGCGGACAAGTCAGTTTCAAAATTATCACTGCTGCATATTAATAATTCTAATCCCTTCATGTCTTGTCTGCGTATCTCTGTAATCTCCACGACCCTCAATATAATTCTGTTGCTCCCACTTTGACCACTATTGCATGCCTCATTCCTTCAGCTTTCCAGGTCTAGCCTACAGAATTCTCTCCGTAAATCCCTCTACCTCTTTCAGATACATAAAAATGCTGTTTGGACCCTACTTCTTTGAATAAGTTTTTAGTCACCTATGCTAATGTTTATTTCTTCAACTCTTGTCCATTTTTGCATGATAACACTCCTTTGGTCTCTCTGCGAATCTCTAAGTACTGCAATCTGTTCAAATAATATTTAATTTCCAGTGACTGACTAAAAGGATCATATGACAAAATTTCAAGTTTTGAGACTTTTACTTCAATAAATGAATTAAAAGTAACGTTGACTGAAAACTTATGGGCAACTAACATTTTAAACCACAGAAATAATATCATGCCTTCTTAACCCAACTTAAATAAAACCCACATCTGTTATAATTCACTGCCCACTATCTACAGGAAAAACAAATTTTATGGGAAACAGTCCAACACTGATCTCGGAATCCAATAGGTTCCATTCTCCCTATTTCACTGAATCATGATGTCAAGTGAACGTGAAAAGGCTCTTTGACTTTTCAAGAAATGGAGAAAATTCTGAATTGACAGGCAGCGAGGCCTGGTACCTTCAATTCATCCCACTTCCCAATTCTTCCCATCCATGGCAAGACAGATCTTCCAGATTCCTTAGGTTGTCATGTGATTTCTCTTTCTTCTGCATTCTGCCTGACTACACCGGCTGCAGTTCCTTGTGAGACTTCCCAGTCTCTTTCTGACTGAATTTCAGAGACAGACTAATCTGGCTGCTATTGCCTTTGTTTCAGATGTGAAGACTTTGCACCTTGCTCTTAGCAACTGTTGAATTTGGCCCCATCACTGTGGCAACCAAGGCAACCAGCTTGCTGCAAAACTGAATTCCTAAAGATCACATGACTCTCTTCAATTCTCCATTTTACCTTGCATTAAGGATACAGCTCCTAAGCATCATGATCTTTTAAACCTTACATTGATAACACACTGTGCAGAGCATTTTACTCAAGGTGTTAAATAACACCAGATGTTACAGTTCTACTGCACTTTCTTTCCCCCGACTCCCATTAAGGAAGGGTAACCTATAAATAATCACTAATTATGTAAAAGGGAATGATTCTGCAACCTTAATGGGTAGTAGCATAGGATGTCTGTTCTGTATTTGAGAATTGTGAATTAATGTTCTTATGAACTATTTTCAGTTGTTTTTCCATCTACAAAGGGAGCGTTGCTTCTCCGAAGACAGAGCCAGATTCTATGCTGCAGAAATGGCCAGTGCCCTGGGATATTTGCATTCACTCAACATTGTTTACAGGTATCCTATCCTATGCTTAAAGGAATTCATTGCTGTCTTCAGTACTAGCTTCATACTGTACAATTTAATTTTCAACAGTTGAACCATGAGTTAATATGTGTTGCATGGGAATGCAAGCAAATCTTATCTGACTATCCAAAAGCAAATATGTATGTTCTATCATATTCCTGACTTTTGCCTTTTAGTGGTGGATGGACGTTGAGGAATTGAAGTGTGCCACACATCACAAAATACACAATCTATGAGCTTCTCCACTAACAATAACATTAATGTGACTGGTCCAGTTGAATTGGTTGTCAATGTTGAAACCCAAAGATAGTGATGGTAATACCACTGAATTTCAGGAATGTGTGATTTAATTTTCTCGTTACAAACCATTTGAAGAAGGGCTAGGAATGGCACAAGTGTAACTTGCCTCTCAGTTAGCCCAGGCTTGTATGTTGTTTGCTTTGCAATATGTGGTGTATGTTTCTGAGAAATTGCCATTGAAGCAGTAAATGCAATACATCAGCAAACTGTTCTACTTCCACCCAACATCTAAGTGCTTGGGATCTAGGTGCCCTGTTACATGAACCTTAAAATGTTAATGTGCAGGTACATCAAGTGGTCAGGAAAGCGAATGGAATGTCAGTGTCTGTTGTAAAGGTAGCACAGTATATAAATTGTAAAGGGCTTCAGTGTGACCACTGGAGTACTGTGTATAGTTTTGGTCCCCTTTAATTAAGAACGGATATAGGTTCATTAGAAGCAGATCAGAAAATTTTTACTTGATTCCTTCCTAGGATGAAGTGGTTATCTTGTCAAAAAGGGTTGACCAGGTTGGTCATGTCCCCATTGAGATTTGTAAAAATGAGAGATGATCTTATTGAAATATGTTAAGATATCCTATATAAATACAAAAATAAGTGCTAGCCAATCCAATGGTAGCACATCCTATGAATGAAATTTTAATACAGTAGGACCCTGCAGTAACTTGACAGTCTGGATGCTGGAGGGATATTTCCCGTGGACAAGTCCAGAATGTTGGAATACAGCAGGTAAGAGGGGCAAATTTAGGATTGAGGCCACAATCAGATTGGACATGAATGTATTGAATAACAGACAAGGCCTGATGAACCAAACGAATTGCTGACACATGCCAACAAGGATTAAATGGATTGTTGCTTCTGCCCACATATAGACTCCTGCTCTTAATTCTTTTGTCCTGATTTTATGATGAAAGTAAGATTATTGATGAAGTGGCTGGTGATGATTGGACCACTGCCTGATATGCTATCGAAGGGATATCCTCGCGTTGAGATGATTATGCTTCACTAACCACAATTATTTCTTTCATGCTAGGTTTAGCTTTAGCCACTAGTTTCCCATTAGAGCTGCTTGGTGCCATGTTCTGTCAAATGCTGCCTAGCCCTCCAAGGCTATCACTTTTGCCTCAGCTCTAGAATTCAGCTCTTAATAATACTGGAGCTGGAGTGGATCATTTAGCCTTTTGAATCCACTCCACCATTTGGTAAGATCATGGTTGATCTGCTTCACTGTTTTCCTACACTGTCCCCATATCTCTTGGTGTTTTTAAATGTGTAGACATCTATGAATTTCAGTCTTGAATGAACTCAAGGATTTAACCTCTACAGCCAACGGAGGCAGAAAATTCCAGATTCACCACCCTCTGAGTAAAGAAATTCTTCCTCATCTGAGTCCTAACTGGCCAGCCACTTATTTCCAACACTCTGCCCCTCATTCCAAACACACCACCCAGGAGAAACATCTTTTATGCATCTACCGTCAATCCCTATAATAATTTTAAATGTTTGAATGAAATCGTCTCTCATTCTTCTAAATTCCAGAGAATGTAAACCCAGACTATTTAATCTTTCCTCGTAGGACAACTCCTTTTCCATGCCAGGAATTAAATTGGTGAACATTCCACTTCCTCTAGGGCAGCAAACAAGAAAATGGAGTTGAAACCACAATCAGATCAGCCACGATCATATAGAATGGAAGAGTTGGTTCAATGGACCAAATTCCCTACTCCTTCTAAATATCCTCTTATACCATGTTTAAACTAAGGCTTTAATCCGGTCTGGAACTGAGTGATCTTGGAAGCCAAACTAAGTGTTAATGAACAGGTTATTGGTGAGAATTTGCTGCTTTATACTTCTGTTGCAGCTTGTTTCATCAATTTGCTGGATGATTAATTGGTTGTAAGCTAACAGGGTGGTAGTTTGCAAGGTTGAATTTGCTCTATTTGTGGGCAGAAGCAGCAATCTATTTAATCCTTCTTGGCATGTGTCAGCAGTTTGTTTGACTACATAACTTTTTTGCACAGTAACTTGGGAACATTAGAGAACACTTATGAGACTGCACAGCTTAAAGACAGCATTAGACAGGATATCCCTAAACAATATTTCACATTTACCAGCATGGCCCCTGCAGGCCTTTCAGCTTCACAATATACTATACTTAATATTTTCAAATATTTTACCATTTGCATTCTGTTTCTGCATTTAGATGATTCTCATTGTCACCCTTAGGCATGCCAATTTCCAAACGGTGCCAGTTACTGAATGTCTCCTGATTGGATTGGTTATCCTAATGGCATTTTTGATGATCCTGCTGTGTATATGTACTTGTTTTCCTTATTTGTTTATTCCAGAAGTAAGCAGTGATTTTTTTTTTTCGTTTTGGATTTGAAATTTGATTAATCAATGATTTTTTGAACTTTCTTCAATTTTTTCATTTCTTATTGCATTACTAAATTTGCTGTTTGATTAATTTAGAAACCTTTGTAGAAATATATCAATTTATTTTCTTTTCATAATAGGGATTTGAAACCAGAAAATATCCTTTTAGACTCACAGGTATGCATATGAATTTCTTATTAGTAAAGCAGTTTGATTTATCAAGACCGTTCAGCACATAGGCTACAGACATAATCTGTAAAGTTCAATTTCAGTAGTTAGTCTGTTGCGTGGAAAACAGGAAATCAGGATGAATTGGAGCCAGATATTAAGTGCAGTATTTTGATAAGTTTTAATATAGATTTGTGTTTCTTAATAAAAATTGCATTAGCAGTCATTTGACTGAACAAAACTTGAGTATTGCTGAAAAAGTAGATTTTTTTTAAACCTTTTATCTTGCACTGATCAGGACAATTCACAATAATTATCAAAGTTAAGGAAAAAATAAATTTAACTTTAAGGGGTTGGTGCTGATTGGTTGGCACGTGGTTTGTAATTGGTAGAGGCATCGCCATGGAGAATACACTAGTTAGATGATTAACTGCCAAACTTTATTTAAATTTTAAACAAAGCAGGTTAACTTTGGTCAAGGCATTGCACCACATGTCTGAACCCAAATGACAATCCTACATAGTTAACAGTGTACTCTGGGCAATATTTGCTAAATAATCCTGTTTTATGCTGGATGCTACATATTAATACACAGGGCCCTGTTCTTTGCAGACAGAAAGAACATGTACATACAGCTGCCCCTGTTCCAATTCAACAAAATGGGTGACAGCCATTTTCTAATTCATTTCTCAGAGAAATGCCTTGCGAATCTCATATCCTGAAGGTACAGAACATTGGTATGGAATGAAGGCATGATGACGGCTGCCAAGATACTGGGCATTAACCTGCATGGTGCACTAAATATGGTGCACATCAACTGGGCATTGATGCAGTTTAACCCTTTGCAGTTGCAATGTATCTCAGTTTATATTGCCTGTAACGTGATGCGTGTATCGTCAGTGCACCTTTCACCATGCACCATGAGTAAGCTGCTCATCCTGACTGAGCCATGAGATCATTTATTTGGAAGAAATGAATACAGTGTTTTCCCCTTTCTTTGTATGGAGGACATCTGTCGACCTCCCTTGGCCTGTACTGATGCTGTAGTATTCCTTGCAAGTGATGGTGTATTTCACTATGCACCTTCTTAGCTAATCAGGAATGTCACATAGACTGTTCCAAGCTGAGGCTGAAATAAAAAATTTCCAGCTTGAGTCATCTTCGCCAACTCTGAGGAGCAATACAAACCTCACAACAAAACAGCAGCTGCCATGAAAAATCAATCAGCAACTAACCTGAAAACATATTTAATAAAAACCGAAAGAACTGCGGATGCTGTAAATCAGGAACAAAAACAAAGTTGCTGGAAAAGCTCAGCAGGTCTGTGAAGGGAAAAACAGAGTTAATGTTTCGGGTCCGGTGACCCTTCCTCGGAACTCTGAGGAAGGGTCACCGGACCTGAAATGTTCACTGTTTTATCCTTCACAGATGCTGCCAGACCTGCTGAGCTTTTCCAGCAACTTTGTTTTTGTTCCTGATTTACAGCATTTCCTTCTTGCCGCTAGGCACATATTTAGCAGTGTAAAGTTAAAAGAGGGTGTTATTTGCAGCATTTGAGTTGAACTCCAAGCCCTCAAATCAGCACTACACTGTATGCTGAGTAGCATCATTCTCTCCCAACTTTGTATAATTCCGGGGCATATTCTCCATGTTTTTGCTGAAAACGTAACCAAATGCATCTATTATGGCCCTCTCCAGATATTTTCATGTTGTGCATGGTCTCTATTTTAGATCCAAAAAGGTACTATGCAACTGAATTTTGTATCCACCATGCACACTTGTTCGTGGTTTACACAAATTACAGCTGCTTTTACAATTGTTGGTGGAGACCTATTATGGCTCCACGTTCTGAATCATTAATTTCCATATTTGTCTGCATACTAGTCTTCCTTGGTGACAATTTTTAAAGTTAGTATTCAACTGTTGAAAATAGACTCATTAGTATTGCTGGAGTATTAAAAGGTTGTTGAAATTGCAATCTAATTATTTAATTACCAACTTTAAATAATGACAACACTCTGTCAAGGCAATAAACCTGAAAGAAGTAGAAAACGATGTAAACTTTGATTAGGCTACTCTGCATCTATAAAGCAAAAAGGCAAAAGAATGAAAAGAGTGCTCCTCAGGCTGATAAACATTCATGAACTGAAATGTTGCACTGGCTTTCTCTTGAAGACTATGCTAAACTTTGCTAATGTCCTTTTTTCTGCTATTTTGTAAAATGTCTTTTGTTATTAACTGGTATTTATTTCGTGTTTCAGGGGCACATAGCTTTAACAGACTTTGGGCTTTGTAAGGAGGGAATGGCTTGCACTGACACCACATCTACTTTCTGCGGAACACCAGAGGTGCTCGATTTTTAAATACATTTTCATAGTGCTTGGCAAGTACTTTCGCCAGACTTGTTAATTTACCACTGTTCCCCCTTGTGGGAATGTACTTAAACAGTACCCAAACTATTTCCTCTTTACAGACAAACAATTGATCTGTTACAATTTTGCTGGTCAGCCTTTGATTCCAGTTCATCTGAGCCAGATTCATTCGCACCCCACTGAAACTGGCCCTCACCCAATTAATTGTTCTTATTTTGGTTTGCTGCTCCTCATTCTATCATAAATGCAAGCATTTATACAATTGTCATAATTGTCCCCCAAATCCTCCCCTGCTTCACTTGATCTGCTTGGCCCATTTCATTCCCTGGAATCAAATCTAGAACTGCCTCCCAGAATATAAGCACCAGGAGCAGGAGTAGGCAATTCAGACCCTTGAGTCTGCTTTGCCATTCAATATGATTATGGTTGATCTCAGCTCTGCTTCAACTCCACTTTCCTGCCTGCTCCCCATAACCTTTTTAACCCTTAAAAATTAAAAATCTATTTTCTTCTCAAATTGATTCAGTATCCTAGTGTCCACCACACTCTGAGGGTCATGAATTTCACAGATTTGGGACCCTTTTAAGAGAAGTAATTCCTCCTTATCTCTGTTTTGAATCTGCTATCCCTTATTCTAAACCTATAACCTCTCGTTTTAGATTGCACCACAAGAGAAACATCCACTCTAAGACAACAGTGTGGAGCTGGAGGAACACAGCAGGCCAGGCAGCCTCAGAGGAGCAAGAAAGTTGACGTTTCGGGTCAGGACCCTTCTTCAGAAATTAAGGGTCCTGACCCAAAATGTCAACTTTCCTGCTCCTCTGATGCTGCCTGGCCTGCTGTGTTCCGCCAGCATCTGAAGTTCTTGCTATCTCTTGAGTGATTTACAACATCCACTCCAATCCATTTTTGTCAATCACTTCCAGCATCTTGTATGACTCCATTAGATCTCCTCTCATCCTGTTGAATTCTAGCGAGTAAAGACCTAAACTGCTCAATCTCTTCCCATAAGACAAGTCTCCCTTAGCAGGAGTTGGTCCTGAAAGAGAAAGTTCTCTTAAACTCACTTTTGTAAACTGTTTAAACCCCTCTGCTTTGATCATATTACTATCCTAATCTACTTCATGATACATAAAAAACCCTCATGCAAATTACTATGTCGTGTTTACATCTATCTGCTATTTTCTTTGCACGATTACACCTGAATAGTTTTTATGCTATCAACTAGTTCCAAGTATAATCCATCCAGCAGTATAATAGCAATATTCTTTGAATCCAGTAATATTTAGTATCCAGTCCTGCCCTTAACTGAGCCATGTCTCCAGAATTATCGTGGCATTATATTTCTACCTGTCTATATATGCCAGAAGCTCACCAATTTTTGTAACTTAATTTTGACTTCATGCATCCGCTGTTATTCTGACTCCACCAAAGCCCTGCCATTTCTTACTCTAGTCTCTAAATAGTCTGTCTCTGCTAATTTTTTGTTGCCGCTTTCTAAGGGAACATTGTGGTTCCCATCAACCTAGTAGTTTGTTTGAACTTTCCCCAATATCACTAGCGAACAGTCCCACCAGTATATTGGTCACAGCACTGTTGAGGTACAGTATGTATAATTTCCACCTTGGCAGAACCAGTTCCAATATGCCAAGGATCCAATGCTCTTCCACCTCTACTCTCTCTGATCCCACACTCATCTGTTCTATTCTCCTTCTTTCTACACTCACTAGCTTGTGACGCTGAGTGTAATCCAGAGATTACACCATTACAGGCCTGCCTCCTGGACTCATTCTTAGATCCCTAAAATTTGCCTGCAGGACCTTGTCTCAGTTTCTACCTATGTTGGTGCTGATAGGGACCTCAACCTTTGGTTGTTATCCTAGCCCACTCAGAGTTTAGCAGCTGTTCGATGTCATCCTTGACCTAACTAAAGGGATACATCCATTCTATCCCTGGCCACAGAAATGCCTGTCTGTTCCCCTTCCTATAAAATCCCCCAAGCTTTGTGTCCCTGTACTTCTTTGTGTCCCTGTACTTCTTTGTGTCCCTGTACTTCTTTGTGTC